AGAGTAAATCAGAATTCAATTTGTGCCACAAGATTCACGTTACTGATACCAAGATACGGTATATATATGATATTCTATATCTAAATTGCAATATTTTCTCAATTCTGGTATAAGTAAATTTCTCCAAAGAAATTATTACATTTTCCTTGTTATAGAAAACAAAAAATATACTTTTTAAATTAATAGAAAAATATGAAAAATGATTTTCTATTTTCTATTTTGAAAGATGAAAATAAGAGCCGTGTCTGTTGGCAGTCATCTTGACCAGTTATTCATCTTGTAATATACGTATATTTATATTGTCGTGAGCAGGCGGCCACCCGGTACGCAACACCCCTTGATCGTTTTAGTGCCAAATGCCGCCATGTTTTACACTTGGCAATAATAGTTGAAATCTATGTAGCCAATATTTTATGTCACCCCTTCTTGAAAAACAACCCCTCCTACATATGCGGACTATCCACAGTGTATCGACAAAGTTAAAGCGCCAGTTATTGGTTAATACCTCCTAAGGGCTTTCATATCATACATCAATAGCTAATGAAATAAAAATAGGTCCACCGCGTATTTTTTTCAATACACTGACAATATCATCAATTCAACAAACATTTTTCAATCAAAACTTTTAAAGAACTTTTCCATTTCTATATATATATATATATATCAATTCTCAAAATCCCAGATGGTACACAATATGGCCGAGATCCAATTTTATTCATCCTCCAATAATTGTCCAAACAACGATTTTTGATATTTTTACTATCAGAAAGTGAAAAAGTGCTAAACACTTGTTTGTATATAATTAAAGCGAAAATCGATAACTTGACTGATGTTGCGGAAATTACTTGAGGAAATAAGCGGAATTTAAATACCTTGGGGTAGAAAAAGAATGTCCTTTCGAAGGTGAAGGATCGTCCCGAGGGACAGATACATCGAGAGAAAGAAAAAGGATCGTAATTTACACGAGTCTATTATGTTACACAGTTCAACAACTTCAAAGATTACTTTTTAAACAGAGTCCGAAGAAAGGGCAACATGAAAAAAAATTGATATGATTTAAAATTCAATCTGTTTTTCTTATTCATTTCAATTCTGCGTTTGGGAAAATATTTCAGTTAATTACTGAAAAACAAACTTAAACATCAAAGTAGTCGTATTTTGTGATAATTTCTTTTAGTGACCGATATCTGAAAAATAAATTCAGAAATGAAGACAAAAAAATAAACCACTATATAGTAAAATAGAAAAACGAAATTCAGTGTGAATCCAATTGGAAAAGGGATGTAAGAAAAAAAAACGTGGTGTTATCCAACGGTAGGCTTTACTTTGATCATGTCCTCTGGGAACCTTGACCATTCTCCGTCATCCTCTCATTTCAATCTTATTGATATACCGAATAAACACTCGTAACATTCGGCTTTGCGAGGTAAATTTCTCGCCCCGGCAACCAAATAGTAAATTTGCAAAAAAATATCTAAAAAATATTTTTGAAAAACTAGTTTTTTTTGTCACTTTTTTGCAACAAACGGTCAGTTTGATAAATAAAAAATGTCTTTTTTTGTGGTTCAAATGTGTGTGTGTATGTAAAAGGCTGATAGAATGTAACGCGCGTATGGAGTAGCGGTTTTAAATTCCGCGAGTCAAAGCGATGTTTGACATGGAAATCTTGAACGATGCATTAAACATGTTGCAGAGTGCTTTCTCTTTTTCTCCTTCTTTTTTTCCACCCTCTCCGCATTCTCCTCTTGCTTTCAGCAAAAGAGACGTTCGTCTCGAATCGTATATATATAGTCCTCCTGTAACCCAAACTTGATAGGTCCCTTATAAACTCGCCATTATCCAAGCAATGTTTACTTAACCAAACGAAGGCGGAGGGTTCAACTTCCGTTCTTTTAAAAGATTGCGAAAGACCAACTTCCGTTTCGAATCGATATTAATTTTTTTTTCTTAAATTCAAAAAAAACATTCGTCTATCATGAATTTAAAATTTAAGAATTCAAAATTCCCTCTAATTAAAAATATGAGCTTCGTTTTGATAGATTTTTATTTGCATCATCAATGTTAGTTTGTTATTCACTTTGATAGATTTTTATTTTCACTTTCACTTTGATGAAGAGTTAAAATGAAATTTTATTTGCATCATTTATGTTAGTTTGTTATTCACTTTGATAAATTTTTATTGTCACTTTCACTTTGATGAAGAGTTAAAATTAAAATCTGTCAAAGTGAAAATGAAAGTGAAATAGAAAATTTAACAAAGTGAAAATGAAAGCAAAAATAAAAGTTTGTCAAAGTGAAATAAAAAATAATAGTTAAAGTAAAACAGAGAGTTTAACAAAAAATTAATGTAAAAATGAAATTAAAATAAAAATCTAACAAGGTAACTTTGATAATTTTTTTCACTTTCACTTTTATGAAGAGTTAGAATAAAAATCAGTCAAAGTGGAAATGAAAGTGAAAAAAAAATCTAAGAAATCGAAGATGAAAGAAAAAATAAGTCAAAGCGAAAATAATAGTGAAAATAAAAATAATACTGAAAGTAAAACTCTAAATTTAAAAAGAAATGAACATCAAAATGAAAGTAAATTTAAAAATCTTTACAATGTGAAAGTAAAAAATGAAAGTCAAAGTGTAAATGAAATTACATAATCTACCCCCAGATCACCTAATTCTTTCTTAGAACGCAAAATTTATTAAATTGAATATGTTTATTTATATCAAATTAATATTTATTTAGGTTAAACAAACTTTATTTAGATAAAATACCTATAAGAATAAAGTTTATTACGGAGAAAAATATATAAAGTAACTTTTACTATTTTTATAGTAAAACATTTTCTGCAAGCATTTTTGGTAACTTTTTCTACTTTCGGAGTAAATTTTGCTATGTTCGGACTTCGGAGTAAACTTTACTACATTCAGAGAATATATTTTTTTTAAAAAATTAGTCAAATTTACTTCGAATCGAATAACGTAGCAAAATTTACTCCGAAAATAGTAAAAGTTACCAGAAATGCTTAACCAGAAATATTTTACTATAAAACTAGTAAAAGTTACTTTTTTTTCTCCGTGTACAACAAAATAGAATATTTAATTAAAACATAATTTTTTCCTGAGTGTAAAAATTGCGAACGCAACTCTTCCAAAATTTAATTATTTTAAAAATTTTTTAATAAAATTATTCTCTAAATAATTTATAAATAATGATTTTATTACAATTTTTTCAAGAATTAAGTTATTTAAAATAAATTTAATTTTTTTATTCTATAAAATAAAATTATTAAAAAAAATCGAAAGAATTTGCGATTTTCTATTAAAATTCGTCATAATTTTAAAATTTGTAAGGCGAACAAAAAAATTCAAAGAAAATTAACTCTTTTTGAATTTTTTTCATTAAAAAAAACAAAGTTTGAAACCGTTTAGGGGTCGTCCATATACCACGTGGACACTTTTGGGGGGAGGGGGGGGTTGAAAAAAGTTTGAAAATGTCCACGATCCCATGTATTTTTGTGTCCACAAGGGGGGGGGGGGGGGGTCAAAAATCTTTGAAAAACTGTCCACGTGGTTTATGGACGACCCCTTATATACTTAGAACGAAAATCATTTAAAAGTATATCTCATTTTTTAAGCTTAAACTAAATTAAGTTAATTTTAGTTCTTAAAAAAATACTCTTAGTCAAAAATACTTCTAATGCAAACGATTTTAGTAAAAAGTGGACTAAAAATCATATTTACTTTGTAAAAAGAAAAAATTAAAAATTATGTTAAAAAAATTAATTTCTGGACACTGGAATCTTGAACTTACTGAGTTCTCTGATTTTCCTGACCTGTGACAACCCTAACGATGGGAAAATAAATAAAAAAATTGTCAAAACCTGTAAAGCAATCTTCCAAATTTTTACACATTCAAAATAGTGTATAAGTTATACCTTAAGCACTATTTTGAATGTGTGAAAATTTGCAAAAAAAATGAACTTAAAAATAAAGGAATTATAACATTTTTGAAAGAATGGAGAATAATGAAAGGGGTGATTCAAGTGGTTGAGGAAATCTACAGAAAGGGAATTTTACGGAACCATTTTCGTAAAAGGTGTCCCATTGTCCGGCAAATGACATCAGGCTTATTGTATTATTTAAAGAGCCCAGCTTTAAAGGTCTTTTTAGCCATACACTCTCATCCCTCCCCTTTCCCCTTCTGAATGAAATTCACCACTCGGACCTTTGAGTTTCTTTTTTTTTTGCCTCTAAAAATCTGGTCAAACGTTGTTGTCCTCTTCGTGCTTCGCTCGTGTCAGTTTGGGTTGATTTTATAAGGGGGAGAGAACACATACTTTTAAAAGGAATTCAGCACAATTACGAACTGGAAATATTCACTAATGTATTTTAAATATTTTTTTTAGATATACCCTTTCAAATTTTTTCTTGAATTATTTTTTTTTTTATTTTTCCCTTATATTTTTTTGCAAAAAAGTAAATTAAAAAAAAGATTTACTTTTTAACTGCTTTGCAATTTGGTCAAAAAATAGTTTTTAGGTCAAAAAACGATAAATAAAAAATTGTACCTATATAATCAAATTTTATTTAGTCGTACTTGGGGTTTTTGTAACCCACATTTGGTCGCCATATTGAATCCGCCATTTTGAATTTTTAAATTGGCATCCCTAACTAGCGAAAGTTTCAAACAAATTTGCTTAAATTAAAAATTTTTACTCGCCATATTGGATCCACTTTTTTGAATTTTTAAATTCATGTCAAATTTCAATTTAGCGACTATAATTACTAATTTATTTAGTTTCTAATTTATTTAATTATTAATTAATTAATTGATGATCATTTATTATTTTATGTTTATTCACCCCTAAAATGCGAAATCCTACTTTCAGATTTGCAGTAAAAATTTGAAAAAACTTGTTTTAAAAAAAAACAATCGTATAAAAAAATACATCGAGTTGACATTTTTTTTTGTCTAATTGCAATAAATAGAGAATTTTTTTGCTCACCAGGTGAAATGCCGTGTTTTGCTTGAAGGGTTGAAGGACTTCTGAGATCAGGGGTTGATACAGGGGCAACAGTGGGAGGTGACAGGTGGGGGTGCGTCTGAGCTCCGCCACCTGTCGTCGTTGCTGTCGTTATTGTTGTTGTGGCACAGGGATTCAAGGGCGATGTTCTTTTTAGTGATTGTTCGGTCCGCCACGCGACCTCATTATCACCTATCCACACTTTACCTGCAAAATCAGAAAGAAATCAAATTAGAAAAATGTTTTTTAATTGATTTTTCAAATTAAATTTTTTTTATTCTCAGTAATAAAAGATGAAAACGGTCGTTTTTGTCAAATCATTGTAGAATCGGCCTGAAAGTTTTGCGCGCGCAGTAAACATAAACTATGTAAATAAACTAATTCTTTAATATTCTGTTGTGAAAACATCACTAAAAATTAATAAAAATTATTTGTTAACGCAGTTATTTGAAAAATAAAAAAAAATTTCCGAAAAATAGAAATAATTATACTTTGTATAATTTATTAACACTGTATAACATAAGTTTTTTTTTTCATTGACAGCAGTAATTTTTAATATAGAAAACGCAATACTAACATATTAGTATTTTCGTGTGAGGAGAAAATGCAAGATTTAGATCAATTAATGATATAACGAGAATTAATGGTGTGGGAGGCTTTCTAATGAAACTCATATTCATCAAAATGGATAATAGTGTTTAGGATGCAGAAAAGAAAATTTGGAAATGAGAAGCATGTTTCCTGCGGTTTAGTTTCATTTTTATTTTCTAGGGTGAAATTGTATTAATAGTGCATATCCCGAAAATATATGCTTCATTCTCTATACACCAAAACTATATATATACTGAAACTCCCCTTTTTTCCCCCTTGATTCTGTGCGCGTAATTAGCAACTGACCCCGCGCTCACTTCTCCTCCCTTCCCGTTTCTATTTCGTCATTTTCTGAATCCTTGGACCCTTCTCTGCTTTTATGCATTTTCTCCAGTTTTTCCCTCGTTTCCCTTAATTTCTGGGAACAATGCCTTCTGCTTGATGTTGTCCTAAGCTATACAGTGTCTAATTACGAGGGTGAATTCGTATAAATGGGGTTCGCGACCCATACTCACACAAAATTATACTTGGATAAATTTTCATCTCATTTATTTTTAGAAAAAATGACAAAATTTATATAAGGAAAATAATAAAAATGACCAAAAATATTATTTGAGAAAATATTTTCAATGATTTCTTGATTTTTGTTCTTTTTTGAATTTGGAATATAATTTGTATTGTTATATTTATTTTTTTAAATAAATATTTAATTATTATTTTTCCGTACGAATTAAAATTCATCAAAACATTCAAATTCAAACCTTTTTGAAATTAAACGACTTATAAAAAAATTGTTATAAAACATGAAGAAAGCGATCACTCCGAGTCTTCGACTCGGAGCAATCGATGTCTTCATGTTTTATAAATAATTAAAAATGACCGACTGATAAAATCATTATTTTATATTATAAGAATATTGTTACTGTAACTTATTCAAAATTGCTTTCATCACTTCAATGCAATTAATGTTTACCAGAATTTTTAACTAAAATTCTTCTTTAACTTAATAATTTTTAATCATTTTTGAAAAATTTCTTTGAAAACTTTCAAATCCTTTTGTTTACAATTCAATTTTATGAAATTCCATCGATTATTATTCGAGGAAATTCTCCAATCAAATTATTAGAAAATAAAATCTACAAATAACTTTAAAAAATTTCAATTTAAAGTTTAAAAAAAAATTAAATCTAACACACAATTTTCAGTTAAATGTATGAAAAATTCAAACATTCAAAGACTATATAATTTGAAACCTTTTCAAAATTCAATTATTTCTAAAAATTCACGCTTTAATACTTTCTCTCTAAATTTGAATTAGTAAAAATGTTCATTAATTGGAATTAGTGACTGACTTTTTGCTTTTGAATTAGTAAATTTTACTATTAAATTAGTAGAAATGACTATTTATTAGTAACATCTGCTAATTCAAAAGCAAAAAGTCAGTCACTAATTCAAATTAGAAAACATTTTTATTAATTCAAATTTAGAGTTTAATATTCAATTATTATCTAAAATTTTAACTGAAATTCATATTTGAATCAATTATTATTAGAAAATTCTACGAGAATTCAATTATTTAAATACAAAAGAAATAATTTATTGAAGAATTGAATGTTTTTTAAAATTTAACTCTCATAAAGAATTTTATCAACAAATTTTTTAATAGACCTTTTAAAAAATTTGTGGATAAAATTTGACGACTTTTAATAAAATTTTTAACAATAATTTCATTTTTTGAGAAATTAGATTAATTAGATTAGATTAATTGTTCTAAAAAATAATTGAATCTCTGTAAAAAATTTGATTGAATTAAGAAATGTTTTTGAAAATAATTGAAATTTTGCCAAGACTTTTATTAAAATTTTTCAAAATAATTGAATTTTGGAGAAAAATGTTATTATTTATAAAGATAATTGAAATTTTAAAGGGGATTTTTTTTCAATTTTTTAACATAATTGAACTTTTGTGAAGAATTTTATTACTTTTGAAAGTAATATTGAATTCTTGAGACGAATTTTAATAATATTTCTGTTTAAATAATTGAATTGTTTTGTGAAACTTTATTGAAATACTTAATACTTTATTGAAAATCGAATTGTTAAAAAGAATTTCATTAAAATTTTTGAAAATAATTGAATTCTTTCAAGAAATTTAATTAAAAATGTATTGACAATAATACTTAAATTCTAATAAATAAATTATATTAATGCTTTTTAAAATAATTGAATTTCTTTGATGAATTTTAATAAAATTTTTAAGAATAATTACATTTTTCGAGAAATTCCATGAAAATTTGTATTAAAAATAATTGAAATGCTGCGATGAGTTTTATTATTTATGAAAATAATTGAATCTCTGTTAAAAATTCAATTATTTATGAAAATAATTGAATCTCTATAGAAAATTTAATTATTTATGAAAATATTTGAATCTCTGTAAAAAATTTAATTATTTATGAAAATATTTGAATCTCTGTTAAAAATTTAATTATTTATGAAAATATAATTTAATTATTGCGTAGATATTTATAAAGAATTCGTAAATAATAGAATTCCTGTAAAATTTTTATAATTTAATTAATTCATTAAAAATTGAAATTTTTAAAACTTTCAAATTATACATTAAAGTTTATCTATTTATGAAAATTGTAAGCGCAACTCTTTTAAAATTGAATTAATTTTGAAATATTTGAGAAAAACTAGATTTCAACTGTATAAGCCCAATAGCTTTAGAAAACAATAATTTTCCAGGATTCCGATCAAAATTCCCTGACTTTTCCATGTTTTTTCTATAGGTTTATAAAATTTCCTGAAATTTCCAGGTTTTCCATATAGGTTTCCTGTAATGTTGTGAAAAATTTGCTCTCTTATGAATAAGAGAGATAATAAAGGAAATAATAAAAGTAGATTTCCTAATGGAAGAAATGGTAATTAATAATAAATATGCAACTTAACTAGACTTGGTAAATTGCTTTCCATAATACACGTGAGATTTGCGAACGAATCACGATAAATCAGCGCAAAACAATAATGAGATATTACCATTTGAAAAAAATGTAAATGATGATTTATGCAAAGGAAATTCGAGGAAAGGCGAATAAGTACGAAGATATTACGTTTCTGGAGCGTGGCAGAGTTGAGTATTTGCAAAGCACGCAAATACAAGCCGCCTCCGCACGCGCGCTCATGTGTGAGTCACACAGTCGGTATTATTTGCTTGATGAATGATTTAGCTTTTGCATCTTTCCTTTTTGCTCTCGTTTGCGGGGGTCATCTTCATTTTATTTTCTTTTCTTTTTTTTTTTGCTTTTTACATATATTTAAAGAGAAGCCGCCGTTGCACCAGAAAACTTTGGAAGATGAAATAAACAGAGAAAGTACCCGCTCATTGTTTGAAAATATGAAAAAAATTTTTTCTTCTACCCATGTTTTGCCTGTGTTTTAAAAATGGAAAAAACTGAAATGTTTCGTGTTTATATGTCAATTGATTTAATGAAAAATTAATTTGCCATTTTTTATCCATATTTTCATATACAGGCAAAAATGTATATTAGAAATTACAGAGTGCGAGAGAGAGAGAAAAACGTTGAGATTCGATATAAAAACAGAAGAGCGAGAACGATCAGTTAAAGTGAAATAGAAGGAGAAAATGGTTTTGGAGGGGTGGCAAAGTAAAAACGTCTCTATGGAAGTTTGAGTGAGACACAAGAGCCAACTTATATAGAAAGAAGGAGGAAAACGACCGAGGAAAATGTGGCTGGCGCTAACTAAGGGCGTCGGCTAATCAATATCATCAGAGAATGGCCGCTTTGCCTCTTTCAACCCCTCACTAAGAAATTTTCTTTCCATCGTATTTTCAGCTCGTATTTTCCTTGGCGAAATAAAATATTTCCTTCTAGTGTAACAATAGAAAATTATTCACTGATATATACTCCACTGAATAAATCAATCAGATCACATTAAATTAATCGTTTTCTTCAATTTTTACTAATTTGACTCTCTTTTTACAACAAGTGTGCCTTTTTGCACGACTGCTCAATAAGAAATTCCACTTAACGCTACTGCGCAGGCAAAACTGCGCAATATTGTAGAACGACCTTAAACACAAATGCGCGAAAAGTCTGCGCAGCAACTCCCAGAGCGCTTGCGCAATAACGGTCGTTCTGCAATACAACTCATTAAACATTTGCTATCCAAACATATTAAAAAGTAAAAGAAAAGGTAAAAAAGGTAAATGTCAAAAACCACAATATGTTATCAAGGTGATATAATTTGAACCGGTAAAGAAAAACCGCGCAGGCATCAGTTGTTTCATTTCGATTTAGATAAAAAATTCCAAAAGCTAATTGAAAATATTATAAAACATTTCGCATGTGGACAATACTGCCCCCTAAGTGAAACCCGAGGCTAAATTGAGAATAGTCCCTTAACTGGAGGCAGCAGTTTCTTTAATCTTGAAATGTTTGCATGGTCCAGCCTGAATGTCCACCCCTATGGTACGAGACAAACGGAACAACCCTCATAGGTAGAACGACAAGTTCTTGGAAAATTAAATTATCTCACTTTCTCACAACATTTTTTTCGAGATTGAAATGGTCTTTTAGATCTTATTTGTTG